TAACTTTCTCAATTAATCTTTTGAGATGGTCAGATATAACGATTTTCTTTTCCTTGACGAAAAATTTTCCTATTTTATTAAAACCATTTTGTATCTTTTCTTGATCGTGGTTAATACGAAAGCGTTTATAAGTTTTGTAATCACTTTTTAAAAGCGCACTCATGCTTGTTTCCTCATCCTGACTCTCGAATTGGGGGTGATCTTTGTCCAAGCTAATTTTCATTCTGCGAGAAAGTTCGATGCGCATTTGAAACATTGAATATTTGTCTTTCGGCTGATCCACCTTGATTTCGATTTAAAGAATGTCCATCTTTTCCGCGTATTGCGCCTCCTCCATTTCTAATTCCGATGAAAGGACTTGGGTGAGAATATCAGTCGTCGAATTCTTGAATATTCTATACTTGGATTTACTTGAATTGAACGGTCGGATATTTCCTCAGGAAAATTGTCGATCATTTTATGTTCTGCCATCTTGTGCAGAACTTTGCACGACGGCACAGAAATTATATAACTGCTATCTAACAAGGAAACCCACACAAATGTCCGCCTCCGATTTTCATAAACTTGTAATATGTTGCGCTTTAGATCAAAGTAACAGATACGTTTTTTATTATATGTGTCCTTTCGCAAGTTTAGAGGATGAAATACCCCTTTGAAGAAAATCGGCTTTTTTTATTCAAAGGGAATAAAACTATAAGAAAAATGAAAACTATAAGAGAAAAAAATATTTTGAATAAAAGTTGAATGGTTTGAAGAGTACTTTAAGAAATTATTTGAAAAAGTTTTTTTTGTTAATATTTATCCCATCACTTCTTCTTATTATAATTATAAAAATAATTTCTGTAAAGTACTCTTCAAACCATTCAATTTTTATTCAAAATATTTTTTTCTATCTCGTAGTTTCCATTATACTCTTCGAATGAAAAAAACCGATTTTCTTCAAAGGAGTATTTCATCCCCTAAACTTGCGAAAGAGCACATATAATAAAAAAATATATGTATTATTTTGATCTAAAATACAACATATTACAAGTTCATGAAAATCGGAGGCGGACACTTGCGTGGGTTTCTATGTAAGATAGAGATTTATAGGCAAGATGATAATAACCAGCTTACATCGAAATTGGCAATATGAAATCACCAGTATTATCAGAATTAACCCACTGATGTTATTACTGTCAATCGATTTTCCAATAGCGGAAAGGCGCACATGTGTTAGAATAGCTAGAATGGACAGTAGCTCTAATGGCGAGCTACTGTCCTTTGCAAAATTTCAAATAAGCATAATATCGTGAAAAATTATTGTATTTAACAAATTGTTTTGTATGTAATGTTTTTACAAAAAGAAAATGCGACTGGTTATGTTATTTCTTAACGCAAACAATCGTTTCGCGCTTAGCTTAGAGCTTTCGTTTTGTTTGTGTTGATATCGGTGCAATAAAATAACAGGTTAAAGCACAATAAATGATAGACTAAATTTGTGTAAATAATTTTTATTTGATTACAAGGCCTTCGATATAATCGTCCTGTTTTAAAATTGTATCCCGCAAGGTACAGGTGAACGGTTTGTTGGGTAATCTTTATCGTGTGAATGCTTGCTGTTGAAATTTGCGCGACGGAAAATTTGAAAGTGCTTTAATTGGAGTCGCGAAACTGGAGACCTTGCACGCTTTTTATTTCTATACGGGGTATCGATAACGTGCGACTTTTAAAATGCAAGTTTTACGATGTGAGAAATGCGAATTCGACGATTTATCGCGCGATCTCTTTTAAAGCTCGTGGTGAAGCTCATCAAAATCGGCTGGAGGGTGCAGAAACATTTCCTCGTTAACCAAAGCTAGCGCAATTAGTCTAAATTATCGATACACGGCATCGTATCGTTTATGCCGCACTATATCGAGGAAATGGTCCCGGCGCTATTCGAATATACGTATCTTAACTGAGAAATCTTTACGATCAGATCAGCGTGGCGGTTATCGTTGCTTTCGGTGTCGTTCGAAAATGGCGAGTCGCTCGCACCGATATCGCGAATTTCGCCATATCTCGTGGCGTCGTCGGTCTCCCGAGCGAGAATTATGTACCCCACGAGGGATACGTTCTTAACGCCGCTGACCTTGCTAGTAAATCGCGACGCGATTTGCTCCGTGCACCGGCCGGCCGTTCGAACGAACGAACTCGAGTCGGTGGTACGCGTTCGCTTACGTAAGTCGATAACGGTAATTAACTTGTCCGTTTTTAACGAAGTCGCGCTATCAAGTTGGCGCGGCGGTGATCGCGGTACGTCGCTATTTAAAAAGCCCGTCGCGCATCCGCACCGAACAGCCAGGCGAGAAAATATGCCCGTATATTCGCGTCGAATTTTTGCGTCGATCGTTTCACCACGGCATCCGTGACGCTGAGAGATAAATTTAAAGTCCGTTGCTTCCTCCGTATAGCGCTGGCGAAAGTATGCTGAGAGAAAAATGTTTGGTGTTTGTGACTATATAATGGCACATAGTGAAAGAATTATCATACGAACATTTTTTTAACGGGTTGCCATGCACTAGAAAAAAGTTCGGATAAAATAACGAAATAGGTTTGTAGACTGAACAAATTCCGTTGCATCAATTGCAATGAAGTCAAATTAAATAAGATTTAAAAAGATATTGGATATGTCGATAATGTAGTTTTCGCACTGTTTTTTTATTTAATTGCATAGAATCCTGTTACAGAGTGAAAATATAAATGTCAACGCATGATAAGGTATTATATTGTAAACAATCAAAAATTTATATATATTTTTTTTAATGTAATATTTGGCTTTTCATGCAATGGCATTTGTACTTTCACTCTGCAGCACATACACACACACATACATATTTGCAGAAAATTTAAAAAATAAAATTTTCTATTTGATTGCAATTCTGTGCAATCAAATAGAAAATCAAATAAAAGAATAATGCAAGATACAAAATTGCGTATGTTGGTATTTAAAATCCGCTTAAGTCTACTCAACATTTTTACTAAAAAAATTAGTCGAAAATAACAAATTAATATAAAAGTGAAATGTAGTTATATGGACGCAACAAATGTTCTTTTAGCTATGTGAGAAAGATTGATCTAACTGCACAATATGAGTGATTCTATATCCTTGAAATCGGAGGTTAAATAAACTAAACGATAACTATATTGAATTAATGATTTTATAATTAGACAGTTGCGAGATTAATTCAAGTAGAAAAAATCATTATGGCAGCTTTCTTAAAATTTTTGAATTAGTTACGATATACAGAGTTCGAATATACGCTTCAGTGACCATCAATTGGTTGCTACCTCGCTCGTTCGCAAATAAATTTTTATTGCGGCGTGAAACGAGCGTAAACGAGCAAGCTGCACTACTTAAAGTTTTAAATTATATTTGATCGTGTATATTATCTGGGATTTGATTATACATATCCATTTTTTTCAAGTTTTTTGACTGCTAGCACCTTAAATTTATTAACTATTTTTTATTGCTAAGTTGAAATCGTTAATTTCTCCCTTTATCATTTTTAGATAAACATATTAAAATCTACGGTCTATCCTGGTATACCTAAAGAAGAGATTTCATGCAATATTACATTATTCTTTTTGTATGCAGCTCATTTAACAAAAAAAGTTGTTCGGGAAAAAAGTTGAGTTAAAACTTTTACTCGTTACTATGTTTAAATGTTAAAACTATATTTAAATGTTACTATGTTTAAAAACTTATTTGGTTATCGTTACTTTGTGGGATAATCAAGTCAACATTGATGATCACTCAATTTTGTTATATATTTAGCTTATTTACACAAATAAGAGATTACAAGAACATCAAAATTAGAGAATTAAAATAATTAGTTCATCACATATGCAACTCTAAAATTAAATTTGCTCCATTCGATTTTTGTTTTGACTAATTTCTTTTTTATAGTAGTATTAGCGATGATAAAATAAAACTTATACGTATTTTGCTACACGGAGTAAACTGTTAAGCCTAATCTACAATGTATTCCTTGTTTCCTGTTTCTTGTTCTCTTTCTTTTTTTAGTTTAAGGTTTAAGATTTAAGATTTAAGATTTAAGGTTTAAGATTTGAGTCAGAAAGAGATAAAGAAAAAGAAATAGGAAACAAATAACACATTGTAGATAAGACAAACGATTTCAACACATTATGGTTGTTTCAAATAGCTCGAGCGGCTTGAGCGCTCCTCCTCTATTATCTCGTACGCTTTGTCATCTAATCTTCTAAAATTAATATCCTGATAATTATTGCGAATATCGTAAAACGATATGAGACTTTTTGTTCAGCTCAATCCGTTCTACGTCTTCACGAGCAGTGGAATAAGTATTTTAGGACACTCTATATAGTTGACCTAAAAACGATTTAAGTGAGATTTTTCTCCAATTTTTTTCTTTCAGTGCCAGCGAAACATAATCGTCCTCTTAATGCGCGCTCGCGTTACAGGTGTATGCAATTCCGCACGCGAAACTTGGAGCTTCTTTTCATTTCACACTCGATGATGATGAGATTGCAGTTATTCCGAATAAAATAATCCGGCAACGCTACTACAAACAGAACGAGGGAGCAATTCTACTGGCTCGCCGTGCCGACGTTCGTATAATCAGTCGGATTACGCCACACAAATACTTAAACCCTCATCTAATTAGCAGTAAACGTTGATATACATTTAAAATGCGATAATACACAGATATTTTCCCATCGAATACAATGTCGTTATTCACGACGAACAATACGTAGATACATTACATTACATACAGATAAATGAATGATGGAGTAAAGGCACTAAAAGCGATATACTATTTCGTTTATAGAGGTTATGTCTTAATGTAAAGTTCAAAATATAAATGTAAATATACAGGGTCCGCCACCAAAATCCGGACAAAATGAACAATTTGTTTAAATAAAATTCTACTCATCAAAATGTAAAACTTACAAAAGAACTTTTTGTGTATCACTAGTGGTATCCTTTTAGAGTAAAATTACTCTATATAACCCCCTTTTGCTTCGATGACTGCATCGATCCTCATCCTGAAGCGCTGGCACGCTCTCTGCAACGCGTCCTTGTCTATATTGGCGAATGCTGCTTCGATAGCGGTTTGGAGAGATGTCACATTGGGATGTCTTGACTTGTTGGTCACTCGTTCAATGACGCTCCACACATAATAGTCCAACGAATTCAAATCTGGACTGTTCGGAGGCCAAAACGAACACAGAAGCAAGTTACAGCGAGCAACTCTGTTCATCTTGGCAGCCTCAGAGAGCATTTGTCGAACTTTTATTACATAGGACTTGAAGCGTAGGTCCTCTTCAGCAATTCGACGCATTGTAGTGTCACTCACACCCAATGTTTTGGCCAATTTCGTTAGAGACAGCCCTGGGTCCTCTGAGATGAGCTCTTGAGCTCTTTCGATAATTGCTGGAGTCCTTACTGACTTTTCTTTCGAATGGCTCTTCCTTGTCGGGTTGGCAGAACCTTTTTCGGACGTCTCCGAAGCCAAATATTTAGCCGCAACGTCATATACGGTCGATCTCGGGTACCCGAAGAACCGAATAATTTCGCGAACGCCCAGCGCGAAGGCCTTCAATTATCGCCGCTCTTCGATTATACTCTGCATTCGATCTTATCTGTTCGGACATTTTGAGGTTATGCGCACTTACTACAAACATCTGACTTGCCCGAACATCAACAGTGACCTACCACCGAAGTCAAATGAGGCGGGAAATTCAAATTGAAATTTGTCCGGATTTTGATGGCGGACCCTGTATATACATGTAGTTGGAAGTACCACCTATCAGATAATATCACATTTTTACTGAAATTATTTCTAGATTTAAAACAAAAAGTTTTTGTAAAACATACGAAAATGGAGTTCAAAGAAAATGGATGTCAAAAGCGACATACCTATTGGAAGTTATATAACATGTTGCATGTATGAGAATATTTGATAATAAATATTTGATAATAAAGTTCATTAATGCGTTTAATGGTTGAATAATATTCATTTATTCAAAATATAATGTTACAAAAGGGAAATATAATTAAATAAACATATATTTTTGGCATTTCCACCTTTTTCATTTCTCACATATTTTACATATGTTATATTTTTAAACTAAACAAAATTAAATTTTAAAATAAACAAATGCACAATTGGGAGGTTAGAATCAGGTTATGTTAATCACAGAGTATCGCACCTATCGCTATGACCTACCTATAGATATGTCACTTTAAGACACATTTTCATAAACTTTTTCAAGGTATACAGTAAAAAAGTAATGAAGATAAAAATATTCAAAAAATATTTTTACAAAAGCCAAATGCATGTGGAAGAATTTAATATTGAACAAAAAGATAATTATCGCTGTTTAGTCCACGTAATTTGTCAATAAAAATCATAGAAATAAAACTTACGAATTTCTAAAACTCCATATTTGCTGATTTAGTGTATAGAAGAACAAGAAATATACCAAATATGGATTTTTCATGACTTAACTGATAAAACGAATTACGTTTATATTAGTTTCGATAAAATACAACATTTAATATATGAGATATAGAGGTGTGTCGCTTTTGGCTACTTTCCTCTACCACCTCGAATATGTCGCCGAATATTTCAGTCATTTATTCGTGCGTTGCGGGCCACGATTTTTATCGTTAAGCTGCTTTAAAACTTTCACGGCCGAAGACGCAGGATCGTTCGGTATACTTTAGCGTGCTCGTGTGGAAAGGTGTGTGTGTATCAACAAAATTGCCGCGTGCAGATACATAGGCGAGTGTTCCGCGCGTTCCTCTATTTGCGAATGCTCTCGCGTCTGTGTTTGTAGAAGTTCGCAAACGTCCGCGAGCATCGGTCCTCGCAGCGGCTTTATCTTTGTCGCGGCGTGTACTTAAATTTGCAACGGCTCCGTAGCGTGCTCACCGAGTGGTAACGAGTAATCTCGATTAGCGGCAACGAGTAATCTTCTCTGTGCGCGCGTACGTTTACAAACCAATTCGATTTATGTGCGAAACTTAAGCGCTCGGCCGAAACACAGCCTTTATTCGAGGCTCGCAGCTGGGATACACGTATACATATATACGTATCTTTGTAGAATCCCAGCAGTCTCTAAATTCATCGATCGTTTCTCGCATAATTACGTTCAATTAACGTCGTTCACGCTCGGCTATGAGCGAACGGGAACATTGAGGTTTAATTGCGAGCGCATTGGCGCCCAGTCTCATACACGTGCGTGTAATTAAGTCAGCTAGTTTACAACTGAAATATTCGTGGCGCACGATTGCGAAACGATTAAATGATCGCCTAGCCGACGGTGGTGGTGGTTAAAACGAAGTTTTCAAACGTAACGAAGGCATGCCACGCCACGTCGCTGTATCGGATCACGAGCGCTGATTTTTACAGTGTACCGATATACCGGTGGATCGGCCGTCGTGATTAAAATTCAAAGTGATCCACTTGGAGGGAGAGAGCTGGCCTCCTCTAATGATCGGTCATAATACCATATATAAGATCGCCGAGGTATCCGTTTCGCGGACGTGACTGAGATCGAGATGAGGTTCGTCGGCGCGATTAACACGACGACTCATCTTTATCCGGGAACGGTCGCAGCATCGATCTCGCTGTATCTTCCGCTAATTGTATCGCGAATTAAATTCAACTATATAGTTGCATTCGCGCTGAGTTGAGACGAGTCGATTAAGGAGGTTTTGCGGGTCTGGCCAAATAAAAGATAATCCTATAACATATACATGATACTAAAGTTAATCGAACAAACTAAGTATTTAAACAATCTTTACTGGATCATGCATCCAAAATATTCAATTGTAAATTTGTATTATGTAAATATATACAATGCTTCTATCATATATTTATCCTAATTCAATATGTCTTTCCTTATTTGATATATTTGCACATAAAATAGACGTTTAAAAATTCTATTCAATTAGTGTTTCATTAATAAAATTGTGTACAATAACTAAAATATAGTTTTGGAACAATAAAATGAAAAGTCATAAATATTATATTATGTAATCGTTTTTAACTTTGAGTTATCAAACATTTAAAAAATGAAAAAAAAAATTACACACACACACACACACACATACAGGGTGTCTCACACTCTTCTCTGGGTATTTTGTGGGGACGTAGAACAGATTGAGGTAAACATAAAAGTCCTATACCGTTTTGCGATATTCGCAATAATTATCGAGATATTAATTGTAGAAAATTTGTGAATAATCATGCAGGATATGGTAAATGACTTATAACAGCGACGACTGCCGTCGTGTACTTATACTTTAGGTCAAATTGAACAAAAAAGTCCTCTTCTATTTTGCAAATAATCACATAGATTCTTAATTATTAATTAAAGAAGATGAGTGCATTATCACGCAAAATCGTACAATAATCTTCTTTAATTAATAATTAAAAATCTATGTGATTATTTGGAAAATAATAAAGGACTTTTTTGTTCAATTTGACCTAAAGTATAAGTACACGACGGCAGTCGCTACTATAACTCATTTACCAATATTCTGCATGATCATTTACAAGTTTTCTACAATTAATATCTCGATAATTATTGCGAATATCGCAAAACGATATAGGACTTTTATGTTTACTTCAACCTGTTTTACGTCCTCACAAAATGCCCGGAGGAGAGTGTGAGACACCCTATACATAAATAAATAAATAAATAAATAAATAAATATATATATATATAAATTTAGCTTATGGGGATCTGACATCATTATTATTCGAGCGAATAATAAATCAAAAATAAATAAATGTTTCGATTCATTGCGAACTCTCTTCAATTACAATACAAAATATCAAACATATGATTTTAGACTTCTCAACGAAAAAAAATCAAGACTTTTAGAAGATTTTTACAATAAGAAATTAGTCATAAGTCGTAAGCAAATTTACCAACTACAAATGATTATATAAAATAATTATGTTTGGTCAAAATGACTATGTTTGGTCAATTTGCTTGCGGATTATGATTAATGCCTTATTGTAGAAAGCCTACTATAGTAAGCCAACAGACACAAGTAGATATAACGTAGAACACACATTATATTTATTTGATGATAAGAAACAAAGTTAGTTTGAATGAACCAGATGACCAGAAACTGGTCATCCATCGATATCACACACAATTAGATATAAAAAAAGTAACTCAATTAAACTCAATTAGATGTAACAAAAAGATATGACAACCTAATCGTTTGTTAGCAAAGATAGAGATCTAATCGGACAAAATATACCTTCTGTATAAAAAGTACCGGGAAATTGTCATTTAAATGAACCGCGGAAGAGGTAGCGGTAAAAAGTTTTTTTTTTTAGATTGGCACTACCTTCCTTCATTACCAACCGGAGCTTGAGCTCGATCAGTCAACTAGTTTGTTTATGGCAGCTGTCCAAACAAGTCTACCTCAGTGTTGCTCTGCGAATTTTACCATGGAAAAAATAGTCGAACAAAGAGTGTGCCTCAAATTTTGTGTTGCAAACGAAATTTCGTGTGCCGACGCACTGATATCCGGCGAAAAAGGCCCGAATTGTGGCGAGACAATTCGTGGATTTTACACGATGACAATGCGCCAGCGCACAGAGCCACGATTGTGGCCGATTACAAGGCCAAAAACTCGGTCAATTCTGTCGACCATCCACCGTATTCGCCTGATTTGGCACCGTGCGACTTCTTTCTTTTCCCGAAACTGAAATTGCCACTCCGTGGTACTCGTTTTTCATCGATTGATGACATCAAAAGGAATTCGCAGCGGGTCCTGAAGGCCATACCAGAATCGGCCTACCAGAAATGCATGGAAGATTGGTTTCGCCGTTTTCACATGTGCATTGCAAACGATGGGGATTACTTTGAAAGCGACAAAATAAATTTTGATGAATAAATAAAATATTCTGTGTTTTTTTTAACGATTCCCGGTACTTTTTATACAGAAGGTATATAAGCTAACGCGTTACAATGTATAAACATCAGCGTGATATGTACCAAGGAAACTAGAAAAAACAAGAAGAGATACAATAACATTGAAATTCAAATGAAATTAAAATATTTAAAAATTACTGAAGTACCGGTGTATAACTATTATTATTAAGATATAATTATTCATATTGTCATCTTGTATGTTAATACCTGTAACGTACGCGTCTTTGGATTCCAGCGTCACTAACACGATCTCGCGCCTCGCGCTCGTTGAAGGGTCGATAGATGTCGGGCTCCCGCGTGGGCCACCATTACGCGGACCAATATCTCTTCTAGTTTCTTCTAGTTTCCTTGGTACATATCACGCTGGTGTTTATACATTGTAACGCGTTAACTTATCTATATTTTGCCCGATTAGATCTCTATTTTTGCTAGCAAACAATTAGGTTGTTATATCTTTTTGTTACATTTAATTGAGTTTAATTGAGTTACTTTTTTTATATCTAATTGTGTGTGATATCGATGGATGACTAGTAACTAACTTTGTTTCTTATTATCATATAGTTCTGCGCCGCCGTGGCGATCACTTCTGTCCAAGCTTTTGATGGAAACGGTTCTGTGGTACAAGCGTATATTGTTGACGGGTCCACGGTGAATAAAGCAATAATAAAACTCAGGGAACAGTGAAATTTTCTTTCCCGACCACTACGCTGACGCGGCACTCTTATCGGAAGCGCAAGGTGGAGGCACAGCGTCTTGCGTACACAGTACACAACAATTTTGGTCCTTCGAGCCGGATTTTCCGTGAATACCGGTGGCCCGGACACAGCGGTGGAACGCTATCCTGGGGAGACAGCTGACGGGACGGTCAGTTACATTCGTCAAACCGGTCAAGAAGTCAAGGAGCCGCAATTCCTGCCAAGCCGAACCTGCGGCCTTTTGTTCGTCAAGGGACGAGCAGCAGCCGCAACGCATCAAGCGAGCGGCCATATTGCGCATGCAAGAAGGACTGCGTCGTTACAGCGACGACGGGTCGACGCAACAAGCTAGCGGACAGAAGGAGGGCTACGGTGTCACAGCGAAGACGAGTCGACGCAACAAGCTAGAGGACATCTTGCACACGCAAGGAGGACTACGTCGTCACAGCGAGGACTAGTCGAAGCATCAAGCGGCCGGACTAACGCGCGAGCATCTGACGACCACGGCATCAGCCGTTTGTTACATAGAGCTTGCGTTCAGATGAGGAAGATCGTTCATTGTCGTTGCCAGTCGATTCATTGCGTCGGGTTCCATTACGCGTGCGCACAATGGCTTACGAACAAGATCCGACCGTGCTAAAAAAGCAGAGCGCGGCGATCAAGAGGTCATATATGCGAAAGAAAACGTATCTCGGTACGGTTCAGTCGATTACACCGTCAGTGGCGGCTCAATTAGAGGAGCGTCGTATTAAATTAGACAAATACTGGAATGAGTACAATATAGTGCAGACACAATTGGAAATGCTTGATGAAAATAAGGCTAATGATTGTACATTTTTCGAAGAGACGTATTATAGTGTGTGTGATAAAATACGCGAAGCGCTCAGTTCTATATTGGTGCCGCGCGATGTGGTGGCGCTCTCGCCGTCCACATCAAATGCTTTCGAAATGCCCGAATCTTTTGCTCACGTTCGGCTGCCCGAGTTAAATCTGCCGACATTTTCTGGGAAATACGATGAGTGGTTCCCATTTTTTGATTCATTTAGTTCCCTCATTCATTCTAACGCGTCGTTAAATAACACGCAGAAATTGCAATATTTGCGAGCCTCGATCACTGGCGATGCGGGCAATGTGATCAGCTCGTTAGAAATTACAGATGCGAATTATGAGGTCGCCTGGGATCTTCTGAAAAAGAGATATGATAACAAGTGACTTATCGTGCAAACGCATATCAGAGCCATCATGGAACTTCCCTCTGTGGCAAGGGAAAATCCGCTCGAGCTAAGAAAGATCGCCGATGATACGACTCGGCACATACACGCGCTTCAAGCGTTGAAGCGCCCGACATCGCACTGGGACGACTTGCTTGTTTACATACTCACCTCTAAGCTTGACACAATCACATTGCGGGAATGGCAATCGTCGTTGTCCGGAGCGGAGCTTCCTACGTTACAACAATTTTCCGAATTTATCGCGCATCGGTGCCAAATTCTCGAGGCTACTAAAGCAAGTGTTGTGCCTGCGATTAGTGTCGTTACGTGTTCACAGGTCAATATCAAGCGCCAAACGGCATGCGTTGCAACCGTTAAGCCCAGGTGCAATTACTGTCGGGGGAAGCATTCGATTTATAACTGTAAAGATTTTTTATCACTTCCGGTTACCCAAAGGGAGACAGAAATTCGCAACCTCAAGTTATGCACTAAGTGCTTGCACTCAGAGGCTCATACAGCCAATAAGTGCACTTCGGGCAACTGCAAAATTTGCCACGCAAGGCACAACACATTGCTACATGTAGATGTCACCGCGGAGGCATGCAACCACGATAGGGCGAGCGATGATTCGAACCTCGTAGAGGTTCCGGCAGTTTTGTCGACGCATGCATCGAATCGTACGGGATACAGTCATATAATGTTATCAACAGCTCTCATTTGTGCGTTCGACAATCAAGGAAGACCTAGACCGTGTTACGCACTCTTTGACAGCGCATCTCAGGTAAACTTTATTTCTCGAGAGTTTTTGAACACCCTCGAACTGGCGCCGCATTCATTAGATGTTCAGATTACCGGCATAAATAAAGCAGTTACGAACTCCACGCAAGTGGTTTCGGTCAAGTTAAAGTTGCACTTAAATTCATGTTCTTGTACGGTATTCGAATGCGTAGTCACTGAGAAAATTACGAGCAAGCTCTCGGTCCATACCTTGAAAAGCGGCGACTTCGTTATTCATAAAAACTTTGAATTGATGGGCTCGCAAAATTGCGTGTCCTTTAACAGTGACGTGCTGATAGGCGCGGAATTATCCAAACGCAAACGAAAGAAAGAAGACATACATTGAGACGACCAAGTTACGCACACTCCGTTGTCCGCCCTGTTTGCCGTTCGCGAATTCTTTTAAATTCGCTGAGTAAATTATGATTGCTGGATCGACCTCGCTGGAGGTCCGGTAAAGTGAGGAAAGGGAGGCGAATTCGGTGATGAACTGACTCGTTTAAGTTTAGCGATTCACTTTATTTTAAACACTCGATTAGTTCACAAAGAGGCTATCTCGATTCGATCGCGATTCGGAACGGAAATCTTCGGAGAATCGTGCATTTGGTCACAAAACCGCGACGGATATCTTGGAGAGCATCCGACGGATGCCCGGCCGACGGATATCTTGTAACGCGGTGACCGCCGACTCTTTCGCGAAACAATCGTCGAGATGCCGCGGAACTTTAACACAAGACAGCACTAACAAACAGTATAAAGTTCGCGGATACCGATGCTCAGCGCAATTGAGGAATTCTACGCTGAATCCGACTCGCGAGCGCGAAACGAATCGAAATATATAAGACGGACAGCTTGTCGTTCTCTGTAGCGCGAAAACACAGAGATTGACGACCATGAACGGCCAAAGCCGTCGGTCGAGACAGCGACGGGTAAGAGAACGGAGCAATCCGGAGATTCGCAAGCAAGCGATCGCCGATGGCGAACGACGATCCCGAGATATGAGAATTGAAATCGAGCTAATCGGGCCGCTTAGATGCGAAGACAACAGACCGGTATAGAAATAAGTTTTCTGTCTGTCGACTACAATGGCCTTACGAAAAGCAAGCGATTTGCAAACAGAAAATCCGACGTAGCTAACTTACGCCTCGATCCGCGAAACGAAGAGTGTATGAAGTTGGCACCCCACTTTTTGAAATTTATAATTTTGAAAGTTGTTCCAGATTGTTCTGACTTTGTACCACATTGTTCCAAAGTGATATTGCTTCATTCCAAACGGTTTTCGAATAAAACAAAAAAAATGATTTTTTGAGCTGGCACCCCACTTTTCGAAAATCGAACATTCTGATACCGTAATAGATTGTTCTAGTTGTTCCAAACATTGTTCCAAAAGGATAAATCCGTAAGTTGAATTATAAGTCCAAAAAATGAAAAAACTGTTTTTGACCTGGCACCCCATTTTTCGTAAATAAAGCATTCCGATACCGATATAGATTGTTCTAGTTGTTTCAGACATTGTTCCAAAAGCGCAAATCCGTAAGTTTAATTATAAGCCCGAAAAATTAAAAAAAAGTTTTTTGACAGTCTACCGGACCAAGAGTAAACTTATACTATCTTTTTTTGTTCCAACCAAGATCTTTTTGTTCTGAGTTGTTCTAGGCTTAAGAATTATAGTTCTAGAGTATGAGACTCATAAGATCATTCGTTCTCCGAAAATTCGTAAAAAAATCGATTTGACAGTACTCGACGTCAAGAGTAAACACATGCTTCCTTTCTTGTTCCAACCGAGATCTTTTTGTTCTGAGTCGTGCTAGGTTTAAAAATTATAGTTTTAGAGTATGAGACTCGTAGCGTCATCCGTTCTTCGAAAATTCGAAAAAAAATCGATTTGACAGTACTCGACGTCAAGAGTAAACACATGCTTCCTTTCTTGTTCCAACCGAGATCTTTTTGTTCTGAGTCGTGCTAGGTTTAAAAATTATAGTTTTAGAGTATGAGACTCGTAGCGTCATCCGTTCTTCGAAAATTCGAAAAAAAATCGATTTGACAGTACTCGACGTCAAGAGTAAACACATGCTTCCTTTCTTGTTCCAACCGAGATCTTTTTGTTCTGAGTCGTGCTAGGTTTAAAAATTATAGTTTTAGAGTATGAGACTCGTAGCGTCATCCGTTCTTCGAAAATTCGAAAAAAAATCGATTTGACAGTACTCGACGTCAAGAGTAAACACATGCTTCCTTTCTTGTTCCAACCGAGATCTTTTTGTTCTGAGTCGTGCTAGGTTTAAAAATTATAGTTTTAGAGTATGAGACTCGTAGCGTCATCCGTTCTTCGAAAATTCGAAAAAAAATCGATTTGACAGTACCCGACGTCAAGAGGAAACACATGCTTCCTTTTTTGTTCCAACCAAGATCTTTTTGCTCTGAATTATACTAGGCTTAAACGACGAAGCAATTTCACTTTATTTTGTCATGACATTTTGTAATTATTTCCGCCAATTTTCCTATAATAATGATTAATTTTTGTAAGAAATCATTTTTTTTTTTTAATTTTTGTCACCTTAGAAATATATTTCAATCATCCAAATAATTATACTTTTTTAAATCAGTATATAGGACTTTTTTTTTTAAGAAAATAGTTTCATCTAAAAAAACCTGAAAATATTTTTGTTAATTTTAATATGTTGTTAAGTTATGAATTTTTTTTACGAAGTTACATTTTTTATCGATTTCGGCAAATTTAAATTGTTATTGCAAAAAATTGTTAATAAATGACTAAAATAACTATTGGAACATAAAATATAATCTTTCTAGAGTATCCCAGAATTTTTTCAGATTTTTTAGATGAGCTTAACAAAAAAATGTTACAGGATTTAAAGGGGTTACCGTGCAAATGGCGTTAGTAAAAAAACATAATGCAAACGGAGGGTTAAAAATATTTTATGTTTTTACATAAATACATATATTTACATTAGCTTGAACGCAAAGTTTTTTTGGCTTACGCAACAAATCGTCATATTCAACCCAATTGGTACCATTACGTACATACGCAGTGTAATGGCCAACTGACGTTTTGAAATTTTGCTCATGATATACAACACATCCAACGTGAGTATAATTCTGTTCATTTAATTTAATACAAAGTGGAATGTCATCCAAAATAGCCATAATCGAACTTTCGATAAATAATTGCGCACCATATGATATGCTCACAGTACGTTCCTCGTCACATTTGTTACATCGAAGTTTTACAATTCCTTCCTTTATCACATCAACAATTTTCGCATAACTATGTTTGCACAATATCTCCTCATTTATATGTAAAATACATTTCTTGACAATTTTTATATTGGCCGGATTCAACAATCGCTTTGAATCGCGAAAATGGTCGGTTTTCGTTGCTAACCGCGTCGGTGAGATACAGCGTCTGACTAAGATCAAAAATTGGCGGCACGTGGTTTCCTCCGAAAACCCCGCCGATCTCCTTTCACGTGGATTGAAGTCGCGCGAATTATCTAATGCTAAAAAATGGTGCAGACCTTCCTTCTTGCAATCCAGTGAAAAATGTTGGCCAAGAAGCGATTTCGTGCGCCTGGAAGCCGATATACCAGAACAAGTGAGGGTAGCCGTTGCTACGGCTACAATAGATTATTGCATCGTCTCTGGCGTGCTAAGCAAATTTTCAAATCTGAATAAGGCATGCCGCATTGTAGCATATTGTTTGAGATTTTCCAGGGCGCGTCGCCCAAACCATCCAAATATCTTTGTATCTCATAGGGAGACTTCGTACGCGTTAAACGTCATTTATAGAGCCGTGCAAAGGCAAACATTCACCAACGAGTATAACGCTTGTATGAAGTTAGCCTCCCACTTTTCGAATTTAACAATTTTGACGGTTGTGCTGATTTGTGCTAGGTTTGTGCTACATTGTGCTCGAATTATAAATTTTTAACACGAAAAATGAGCAAGAAAAATGGAAAAAACCGATTTTTTGGTAGCCCCCCACTTTTCAATTTTCGAAATTTTTTATATTGTGTTAGGTTGTGCTAAGTTGTGCTAAAGTAGTATTTTCGAAAAATAATCACGAAAGAAATAAAACGAAAAAAACGATTTTAGGCAAAAAAGAAGAAAAGTAAGATTTACACTCGTATAAGTCAACCAAACGATATATAATTATATATCTGAGTTGTGCTAGCCTAGCACAA